ATATTAGGAAGAACTTCTTTACTGAGAGGGTTGTTAGGCATTGGAATGGGCTGCCCAGGGAAGTGGTGGAGTCACCATCCCTGGAGGTCTTTAAAAGATGTTTAGATGTTGAACTTAGCGATATGTTTTAGTGGAGGACTTGTTAGTGTTAGGTCAGAGGTTGGACTCGATGATCTTGAGGTCTCTTCCAACCTAGACAATTCTGTGATTCTGTGATTCTGTGATTCTGTGATTCTGTGATTCTGTGATTCTGTGATTCTGTGATTCTGTGTGATTCTGTCTTTTCCAACCTTTATGATTCTATGTTTCTATCATTTCTATCATTCAGAAATATGCCACCTACTGAAAATAGCTTCTCAAAGGATTAATTAAGTTCAAACATCCCCTTATTTAGACTTCATGAATTGCTCAAGGACATAGACCCTATTAAATGGTCTCATACAGCAGCTCATCCAGAACACTGGTTTATGGATGGAGGATTACCGCCTTACTTCTTTCCCACATTATATCACTTGTTGTATGTACTGGGTCTGGCTGGGATGTTAACTTTCCCTGCAGCAGCCCATACAGTGCTGTGCTCTGCACTTGTAGCTGGAACAGCACTGGTATCACACCAATGTTGTGCCTACTGCTGAGCAGTGCTGGCACAGCATCGGGACTCTCTCTAACCCTTCTAGGGGGTGGGCAAAAAGTGAGGAAAAAAACATCACCAGGGCAGCTGACCTAAACCAACCAAAGGGGTATTCCATACCATATGATGTCACACTCAGCAATAAAAGGTGGAAAAAGGAAGAAGAGGGGAGGGGTGGGCTCTCATTGTGAAAACGTCGGTCCTCCTCCCAAACACCGGCTATGTGCATTCAGGCTATGCTTCAAGGACATGGTCAATCATCGCTCATTTGTGGGAAGTAGAGAGTAATTTATTTCCTCTGCATTTCCACATAGCCTTTATTATTATTTTTTTTCCCTTTCTCCCTGTCTTTTCCCCTTTCCTTTTTTTTTTTCTTTCCCTTTAGTTAAATTGTTTAGTTAATAATAAACTTACCTTAATAAATCTTTTTTTTTTTTCCTTTAATTAAATTATCCTTATCTCAACCCACGAGTTGTTCTTTACTTTACTTCTTCCCCTCCTCATCTAAGGAGGGGGAGTGAGAGAGCGGTTGTGGTGTTTAGCTGCCTAGCACGGTAAAACCACCATTGTACTGAATGTTAAGACTGAAATAAAAATTAGCAAGACTGATGTCAAGGTGAAATGAATTATATCATTTAAATCATACAAGTGCAAGCTAAGTATCTTGTCTCACTGCTCTATGCCCTGGGGCACCTAACTGCAAGGTCCATGGCACAATAGAAAACATAAGAGCTATTAGTGCTGTACAGTCAAGCTGTTCCAATACAGTTGCTGGAAAGATGGAGCAGCAATAGCGCATGGGATCTGACCACAAGCAAGCTCATCTCTCTCTCTCTTTTATGTGGAAGAGAAATCCCCAAACCGCTACAAGTAACAGCACAGAGTCACTCTGCCTCATGCCAAGCAGCTTGTGGAGAGCACTCCAGGCTGGGACCACCACCATCTCTGGCTTGTGTATTAATAGGAGGAGAGGTTATAGCTGTTTTGCCTCGTGCGAACTGGGTGCCCTATCTTATATCATTATAATTATATAACATATAATATATATGTATGTAATATATGCGTATAACAGTGATGTGGCTCTGGAATAGCAAATTGTTCTTTGTCTCATTCATTGTATGGCTCAAATTCATGCAGAATTTCATAATTTCAGCTATGAAAACCCTTTCAAAGGCAGCACTGGGACAGTGTACTTAGTACACCATATACCCTGAGCAGCCATTTTCTGGAAAAGTGCATGGTCAATTAGTATTTATGTACACTAATATTTTTTTAAACACTGTTTACCTTTACAGTGGCTTTGTGTCACAAAGCTTTAACAGCTCCTCTGAGTTTTTACAACCGTTTGTTTCACGCACAGCCATAGAGAGAGCTGCTTGGCATCCTGCAGCAGTCCTTCCTCCCAGCACAAGTGACTCTTCTTTCTGCCCTCCCACACTCCCACTGTTTTTATTATTAGCCTTCTGTCTCCCTTGAAGCTAACAAGTATATTCATGTTTACACTGGAGTGATCTCTGTGAATCATAAGAAACAACCTGACCCATATGTAATATGTATTTGAGAAGTCAAGAGTAACAGGGAAAAAAAAGAAGCTTTGTGTCAAAGCCCATTGTCTAAAACATATTTCCATCTGCGACAGGCATGATTGCTTTGTCAATTGGCTGTTACACCTCTAGGCAGAGGAAGAATGGGGCAATGTGGCCAGTGCTCAACGTCATCTCCCAGCTCCATTGGGTGAGAGAGCTATGGGACCCCCAGAGGCAGTGCAGGTGGAGAAGACAGAGCAAATTGTAAAGGAGAAGAAGATGACAGGGGAATTGTAAAGGAGAGCTCAGGGCCACAACCCTCATGAGTGGTGATAGGGCTGGGGTGCAGACCTCATCTCCTCAGAACTGGAATACCTCACTTACTTCTTGTTTGTAAATGGACAAATATTACAGAGTTTTGGCCACCAGTATTGAACAGCACAGCTGAGAACAAAAATTAGCCCTTGCTGCCAGAATTAAGAGAATAATTATTTTAATCTGTTTAACAGTGAATAACATAGTTGCCAAATGATTAAAGGAAACTAACTGAAAAAGAGTATTTGTAGAAACAATATAAATTAAAATGTATGCATGCTAACGTAATTATTAGCTACTTCACAGTTGCTATAATGAACAAGATAGCTGATTATAACCCAATCTGTAATTGCTGTAGGCTCTCTTTCATTGGGCCTACTCTGCCCTCCAAACCAAGTATTGACAAGTACTAAACTGTGTAATGACTGCATGGATTTAAGACCCTCTGAAGCTGAGTGACTGTGTATAGGACAAAAAAAAAATAAAAAAATAAAAGGGAATTCAGGGCCCTCTCAGCTCTGCAGGAATGACACAGTCCTTTCTGTAGCTCACACAAAAGCGGTTGCTCACACTTTCTGCTTCTCCTGTCACTGTTCCTCTTCTACTCACCAAACTCATGTGCTCTAGGAAGTCTCCTTGCCACTGCTCTTAATCCAGATAAATTAATTTCTCTAACTAGGGAAGCCAGTGATGAAAGAGATCACTTTGGAACAAATGCATGGATATGTATATGGTTTTATTTCACAACATGGACACCAGCTGGGTCTGAAGAGCAGCCTGATGGCCTGTATCTAGCCCTGAACATCTTTCAGGTCCTCCTCAAATGCTCTTAAATTTAGGAATTGTTCTGCTGTGAGCTGTTAGGGCAAGAGCACACAGGTAAAAAACAAAACAAAACAAAAGCTTTAGATTAGATGTAGGAACTTCCTTCCATATCCAGCATAAAGCATTTCCCTCTAAACCCCTCCATTGTTAGTCACTGTAATAATCTCTTCTGGAATTCAGCAAAGATCAGAATAAAATATTCAAACCATACAAAACAGCTATATTTAGGAATCAGCTATATAGTAATGAAGATATCCTGATTTACAGCGAGAGTCACACTGATCATGATTCATTGATATGTCTTCTCAACATTGGTAATGAAATTATTAAGCGTCAAGGGCCCTGAGAAACTTTTTGAGCTTCTCAATTTCCTTTTCAGCTGAGGGCTCCCATGCTTAGTCTAAAGCCAACAACAATTTTTGGAATAGTGGAACAGGCAAGCTCAGATGTACTCAAAATCTTTAAAGAAGCACCATAATAACGTACTTTTTACAAATAATTTGATGCAAGAATGGGGAACAAATAATAAACTTACTTTGATCTTATGTTGTTTATTCTGTAGGTTAAAATGAGATTCAAGGAAGTTCCAATTCATATAATGCATTTAAAAGAATACCTGCTTAGTGATTTTTAAGCTGAGGATAGCCAGACAAGGCTTGCTTTTAGGGTGATTTAGGTTGAGATGCAGAACAGTGAGAGTGACTTTTCAGCACTTTGTATTTGGAACTATTTAATGCCTCAGTTTCCAGTATTATCTAAACTTATCTCTGAAGTCTGAATTCAGAGTTTAAACCTATCTAAGCACTGAGGCAGCCTCATTCAGAAGGCTGGTGCTTCCCAAGGCAGGATTCTCTGTGCTGGCTGGTCAGTAGCTCAGACATAGCAAGGGAGGGTATATACAAAATAAAGAAAAAGTAATGAAAAAACACACAATAAAACCACAGTGATTCTAAATAATTCCAAGAAAATGTCATATTCTGTTTTTAAAGTCTGTATTACACAATAATGCTTTAACTTTTACTTTACCAGAGAATGTTTAGAAGCTGAATACAGACTTATCCCAACATGATGATATAGAACCTGACAGTTCAATGGCACACAAGACCTATGAGAAGATACTGCTGTGAAAATGGGACCATAACTGTCCAGAATATGTATCTATGAAGGACATCTGCTAGCCCCAAAGTACTCTGTGGAGTCCTAGATGAAATTTGGGTCATTTCCAGTTCTGGGTTCCCCGTTACAAAAAAGACAGGAAAGAGTCCTGGAAAGAGTCCAGCAGAGGGCCACAAAGATGATACGGGGCCTGGAGCATCTTCCTTATGAGGAAAGGCTGAGAGACCTGGGTCTGTTCAGCCTGGAGAAAAGAAGACTGAGAGGGGATCTCATCAATGTGTATAAATACCTGAGGTGTGGGAGATGGAGGGATTTGGCCAACCTCTTTTCAGTGGTTTGCAGGGACAGCACAAGGAGTAATGGTCACAAGATAGAGCCCAGGAAGTTCTGCACCAACATGCGAAAGAATTTCTTCACGGTGAGGGTGACGGAGCTCTGGAACAGGCTGCTCAGGGAGGTAGCATGCAATCTAACCTATATACTTATCTATCAGATTCAATAAATATATAGCACAAGGTGCTGTGAACTGCTTACTTGAAGATAATTTTGACATTCTATCTAAATTAAGACGATGCACTATAACTCACCTGTAACTTCTGAGTCAAAGAACCCCTCTGTGCCTGGAGATCTCTGGAACTGTCAATTTCTTGTTTCAATCTTTCTATTTCCTGAGGGAGAAGAAAAAAATTCTTTAGCAACACATTACCTGGCTCAGAGTCAGTGCAGGTAATCTGGCTGCTGCTGCTTCTCTCAGAGAAAGCCATTGCAATAAAATGAAAAGTGGCAATTGGCTACTGTACATCATAGCACATGAAGTTTAAGCCCTGCTCCCAGTATTATTGAATCACAGTTCCAAAACAGCATTTCCACTGTGAATAAACAATACAGATAAGTATTTTATTTGTTATAAAAGTGCAAGCATCTTTCCAGTACAAAAGATCTGAAATATTTTTTTCTCCTGGAAAATCAAGGGTCCCTGTAAATAGAGAAACAATCTTATGCTTTAAGTTCTATTTTAATCCAGCCTTCTTCATTTTTTTTTCAAGATAAAAATACAATGTTCATCTGTGAGCTGCTTATCATGTCACTAGCAGCAGGGCTGAGCATCAGAAATTACCTGATTTGACCACTGGTTTCTGAAAAAGGATTCAAAAAGAAATATATCTTTAATACACCAAGAGTACAGTAATAAGGTATAAAAATAGCATTATATATAAAATAAAGAATGGAAGATAAATATTTTCTTAGATTATTTCAAGAGTTAATGAAACTAAAAGGTATCAAATTTAAAGCTAATAAATACTTTTTCCCGGAAGGGCATATTTACCTCCCAGAAATCCTTTTGAAAAGGATTTCTTTGCATCTTCATAATTCAAAAGGGGAAGGGATCAAAACAGGAAACAATACCAATGTGAAGCTAATCGCTTAAATATGTGGCAGTTTGGAAAAGACGTTCTTCCATTTCCTGCAATTTTACCCCCAAGAACTGGATTTCCTGTGCAGGTCCCTTGACCTTACTATGTTTAATGGCAAAACCAGCTTTCAGGAGAATATGGATTATTTTCTTCCCTTTCTCAAAAACTTCTTCTGTGGTGTTGCCCCACATGAGGATATCATCAATGTACTGCAGATGTTCAGGAGATCTCCCTTGTTCCAGTGCAGACTGGATCAGTCCGTGGCAAATGGTAGGGTTGCATTTCCACCCCTGGGGCAGTCGATTCCAAATGTATTGGATGCCCCTCCAAGTGAAAGCAAACTGCGGCCTGCATGCTGCTGCCAAAGGGATGGAGAAAAATGCATTAGCAATATCAATTGTGGCATACCACTTGGCTACCTTGGACTCTAGTTCGTACTGGAGTTCTAGCATGTCCGGCACTGCAGCACTCAGTGGTGGCGTGACTTCATTCAGGCCTCGATAGTCCACCATTAGCCTCCACTCGCCATTAGACTTTCGCACTGGCCATATAGAACTATTAAAGGGTGAGCGAGTCTTACTGATCACTCCTTGGCTCTCCAGCTGATGAACCAACTCATGGATGGCAATCTGGGAGTCTCGCTTGGTGTAATATTGCCGCCGGTGCACAGTTGTGGTAGCGATTGGTACCTGCTGTTCTTCAACCTTCAGCAATCCTACAACAGAAGGGTCTTCTGAAAGGCCAGGCAGGGTAGACAGCTGCCTAATCTCTGTGCTCAAAGTTGCTATGCCAAAACCTCACAGGTACCCTTTTGGATCCTTGAAATACCCTCTCTTGAGATAGTCTATGCCAAGGATGCATGGAGCCTCTGGGCCAGTCACAATGGGATGCTTTTGCCACTGTTCCCAGTTAGACTCACTTCAGCTTCCAGTACAGTTAGTTGTTGGGATACCCCTGTCACTCCAGAGATACAGATGAGTTCTGTCCCTTGGTAGCCTGATGGCATTAAGGTACATTGTGCGCCAGTGTCCACTAGAGCTTTGTATTCTTGTGGTTCCGATGTGCCAGGTCATCAGATCCACACAGTCCAATAAATCCGGTTATCCCTCTCCTCTACCTGGCCAGAGGCAGGGCCCCTCTAGTCCTGGCTGGAGTGTCTGCCACTTAATTCTTGCAAATGAGAAGCAGAGGTCCCTTCATCAGGGTCACAAATGGGATCTGGGTGTAGTGGGTTTACATGGCAAGGTTTTGGTAGCAGGGGGCCATAGGGGTGGTTTCTGTGAGAAAGATCTAGAAGCCGCCCCATGTTTGGGAAGGGCCCCATTGTTTTCCAGATCTGAGCCAATAAGCGATGTTGTTTTGCGCCTCTGTGAGAGCATATTTAAGACAGGGAAAAAAACGCTGCGCCACACAGCAGCCGGGAGAGTCAAGGGAGTGAGAAACAGCCTTGCAGGTGCCAAGGTCAGTGTAGAAGGAGGGGGAGAGGTGCTCCAGGCGCCAGAGCAGAAGTCCCCTGCGGCCTGTGGTGAGGACCATGGTGAAGCAGGATGTCCCCCTGCAGCCCATGGAGTACCACGGTGGAGCAGGGTTCCATGCTGCAGCCCGTGCAGGAGACCACGGTGGAGCAGGTGGCCCTGCACCGACGGAGGCTGCCGCCTGTGGAAGACCCCTGCCGGAGCAGATTCCGGGCCGGACCTGTAGCCCGTGGAGAGGAGACCACGCAGGAGCAGGTGACCTGGCAGGAGCTGCTGCCCGTAGGGGAGCCAGGTTGGAGCAGTTTTCTCCTGAGGGATGGACCCCGTGGTACGGACCCATATCTGGAGCAGTTCTGGAAGAGCTGCTGCCTGTGGGAAGCCCACGCCGGATCAGTTCGTCAAGGACTGCATCCCGTGGGTGGGACCCCACAGCACAGGGGACGAGAGTGACCGAGAAGGAGCGGCAGAGAAGAAGTGCTGTAGACTGACCATAACCCCCATTCCCCCGTTCCCCTGCGCCGCTCGGGGGGAGAAGGTGGAAGAGGGTGGATTTGGGGGGGAGGTGCTTTTGGTTTCTTTCTTTTGTTTCTCACTTCTTTAGCTTGTTAGTAATGAGCAATAAATCTTACTATCTGTCTTCTTATGCTGAGTCTGGTTTGCCCGTTACACTAATTATTGCGTGATTTTCTCGTCCTTATCTCAATCCTTGAGCCCCTTTCACATATTTTCTCCCCATTCCTCTTTGAGGAGGGGGAGTGAGAGAGCGGCTGTGGTGGAGCTCGGCTGCCCACTCGAGCAGAACCACGACACTGGGTCAGCCCTTCTACTGCCTCTGGGGAACTGCCCAACAGACACTGGAGCAGCATTTTTCTTAGGAGCCCCTCTTCTTGCTGCTGTATTTCCTTTCAGTTCATGTACCTGAGCAGTTAGGGATGAAGTAGGTTCACCATCCAGCTTCAGAGAATCACAGAACTGAAGGGATTGGAAGGGACCTCGCAAGATTACCCTGTCCCAGGTGCAGGACCTGGCACTTGCTCTTGTTAAACTTCATGCGGTTGGTGATGGCCCAGATCTCCAATCTGTCCAGATCTCTGCAAGGCCTTTCCACCCTGAACAGTGTCCAGAATTCCTCCAAGTTTAGTGCCATCAGGAAATTTGCTCAAAACACCTTCTAGTCCTATATCCAAAAACATTGAAGAGGACTGGCCCTAAAATGGAGTCCTGAGGGACCCCACTAGGGACTGTCCGCCAGCCTGATGTGGACCCATTTACCACATCCCTTTGAGCCGTGACCATCAGCCAACTGCTCACCCATCGTATGATGTTTTTGTTTACCTGTTTGCTGGACATTTTGTCCAGTAGGATCCTATGGGAAACTGTGTTGAAACTGTGTTAAAAGCTTTACCGAAATCCACAATCAGCTGATCACATCAGCTGGTTTCCCTTGATCGACTAGATGGGTGATCTTATCATAACAAGAAATTAAGTTAGTCAAACAGGACCTACCCCTCGTAAACCCATGTTGACTGGAACCAATGACTGCGGTGTCCCCTATTTACGCTTCAATAACTCTTAGGATAATCTTCTTCATAATTTTCACAGAATCACAGAACTGAAGGGGTTGGAAGGGACCTCGAAAGATCATCAGGTCCAACCCCCTTGCCAAAGCAGGTTCCTTAGAGCAGGCTGCCTGGGTTGGTGAATCCATGCTGACTACTCCTCATGACCTTCTTCTCTTCCAATTGCCAGAACAAGCTGTTCCAACACCTTCCCAGGGACAGAGGTGAGACTGACTGGCCTGTAGTTTCCCAGATCCTCCTCCTTGCCCTTCTTGAAGTCCGGAGTGACATTGGCTATCCTCCAATCTTCAGGCACCTCTCCTGTTCTCCAGGACCTTTAAGAGATGATAGAGAGCGGTTCGGCAATCACCTCTGCCAACTCCCTTAGCACACGTGGATGCATCCCATCGGGACCCGTGGATTTGTGTGCACTGAGCCCACTCAGACGCTCCTGAACCACTCCCTTGTCAACAAGGGGGTTGATCTCCACTTCCCAGACTCTTTCTCCTCCCTCCAGGGTTGAGGAGTCCCAGCGGGGAGCCCTTGAAGAAAAGACTGAAGCAACGAAAGCATTCAGTATCTCCACCTTCTCGGCGTCTCCCGTTACCAGGACAGCCCCCTCGTTCAGCAAGGGACCCACATTATCCCTAGTCTTCCTTTTACTGTTTACATACTTTAAAAAACCCTTCTTATTATCTTTTATCTCTTTTGCAAGCCTCATCTCTAGGTGGGCTTTAGCCTTCCCTGTTGCGTCCCTGCAGGCCCTGACAACACTTCTATACTCCTCCCAAGAGGACAGGCCCCTTTTCCACATTTCATAAACCTTCCTCTTCCTTTTGATCTTGTCGATGAGCTCCTTGCTCATCCACGCAGGTTTCCTGCCCCCCTTCCCCGATTTCCTACTCTTAGGGAGGCACTGATCCTGAGCTTGGAAGAAGTGCTGGTTAAATGTAGTCCAGCTCTAATATGCACCCTTGCCTTCTAGCAACCTAACCCATGAGATACTCCCAAGCAGGTCCCAGAAGAGGTCGAAGTTGGCTCTCCGAAAGTCCAGGGTTGCAATCATGCTTTTAGCCTTACTTCCACCAAGTTCCAATTTGAACTCCACCATCTCATGGTTGCTGCATCCCAAGCTACCCCCGACCTTCACATCCCTAACAAGCCCATCCCTGTTGGTAAGGACAAGGTCCAGGAACACCCCTTTCCTCAAACTGAAGTCCCCCATGAGAACCAGCGCCCGTGATCGTGAGGCTACTACTAGCTGCTTGTAGAAGGCCTCATCGACTTCTTCCTCCTGATCTGGTGACCTGTAATACACCCCCACAACAGTGTCCCCCATACCAGCCTGACCCTTAATTCTCACCCACAAGCTCTCCACTTGTCCATCACCCTCCCCCAGGTGGAGCTGCGTACACTCTAATTGTTCCCTCACATAAAGGGCAACCCCACCCCCTCACTTCCCCAGCCTGTCTTTCCTAAAAAGGACATAGCCCTCCATGACAGCATTCCAGTCATGCGAGCTGTCCCACCACGTCTCTGTGATTGCAACGAGATCATGGCCCCACGACCAAACACAGATCTCGAGCTCATCCTGTTTATTTCCCATGCTCCGCGCATTGGTATACAGGCACATTAGAGAAGCAACAGGCACAGTTACCCCTGGAGGGATGCAAGAAGAAGAAAATTCCAGATGGGGTATCGGGATCATTGCCTTCTCTGAGGAGCCCTCGGACGATCCTATGGGACAACTCAGAGGTCTTTCCCTACTATCTTCAACAATGACAGCAGTGACAACTTCACCCAGCCCTTCTCTGTCACTTTTAGCTCCCCTCCCTTCCCCTGTTAAACCTAGTTTAAAGCCCTGGTAATTAGCCCAGAGAGTTTGCTCCCCAACACACTTGTGCCCCACATACTGAGTTGGAGTTGATCAGCAGCCCACGTACCCAGCTTCTCAAAGGGCTGCCCAAGATCGAAATACCCAAATCCTTGGTCCAGACACCACCCCCTCAGCTAGTCGTTCACCTGTCCCATTCTCCTTCTTCTTTCTGGGTCCCGGTCACCCAGCGGGAGGACAGAGGAGAACACTACCTGCGCCCCTGATCCCTTCAACAACCTTCCCAGGGATGCAAAGTCTTTTTTAATATTCCTCATTTTTCTAGTTGCAGCTTCCCGGGATCCAACCTGAATGACAACAAGAAGATAGTAATCTTCCGGTTTAATGAGCTGTGGCAGAGCCTTCCTAACGTCTCTGACACATGCCCCAGGAAGACAGCACACCTCTCTGGATAGGTTATCTGGGTGACAAATGGGAGCCTCAGTGCCCCTCAGCAAGGAGTCTCTGATCACTAAGATTCTCCGTTCTTTTTTTGTGGCACCAGTTGTGATGCAGTGCTCCGCCCGGCCCCGATCCATATGCTCAGTACTTCCACCAATCCTGACATGCTTTGCAGGTTTGCTTCCCGGGTTCGGACTATTGTCCAGACCCTCAACCTCATCCTTTTCCTGCCTGAGAAGGGAGTCGCCTACAATGATTACCCTTCTACCTTTCTTGGTGGAGGCAGTCTTGAGCCGTGGAGTCGACTTCCTCGCCCTGGGCATCCTCCTGGGTAGACCTACTACATCATCCTTACCCACCGGTCTCTCAAGCTCCAGGGCCTCAAACCTGTTGTGTAAGGGCACCTGGGAAGGTGGGGTTGTGCTCCCTAGGGGCTGTTTTTGAACGTCAGGGTAGAGGGGGCGCTGCTGGCTCCACCTACGCTTCGTCAGCCTCCCTCGCAAGGGCTGCCGGGTCCTGGTGGCTCCCTCGGCTGGTTCGAGTGGCCTCGATGCCGGAAAAAAAAGCCCTGCCTGTCCTGATTCCCCACTCCACTGCAGAACGCGTCTGCCCCAGAGCCGATTGCCTCGGCAAGTCTTTTTTTTACCACCTCGACAACTTCCTTATATCTTCCCCGTGGTCACATAGATAAAACCACAACGTTCCACATGGTGTGCATCTTGGGTGCTCTCTCCCTCCAGCAGGAAAATACTGATTCTTAGTGGCTGAAATATCACTCCGTCTGGATGAGGAGGGAGATGCTTTTTCTACAGGGTCGTGAAGCCTTTGGAATAGTCATTTCTACAGCCAAGACACAGGCCTGTACTGGAGCAGAGAGATTGTCTTCATATTTTTGAAGCTGGCAGGACAGATTTATACATTGTTGGTCCCATACCCTCATCCCAGTTAATTACTGCCAGTTTGCTGGCATGTGATGATGGTGCACTCTGCACCAATTTACACCACATGGATGTTGTGCACTGGACTTCATCGGGATCTCAAGGTGTCTGGGCATTGTCCAAATCACTATAAATCATCTCCCGCACAGTTAATTCCCGCAGATGCTGGAGACCTTTCTCCATAGTGATCCACTTGCCTACTTGATATACAATATCTTCCTTCTGGGGATACCTTTCTTTCACAGCTGCCAGGAGTCACCTCCAGAGGCTGAGAACCTGTGTCCCTTTCCCAATTACTTTGTCAATTACCCTTTCTCTAGAGAGGGATCCCAGCTGCTTGGCTTCATTGCTTTCTAATTGTAGGCTATTGGCCCCAACATCCCAGCATCGAAGCAGCCAGGTGAGGATGTGTTCACTTGGGTGTCGACCATAATCCTTTCGTATTTCTCACAACTCATGCAGGGATAGGGATCAAGTGATTTCTGATTCCTTTATGATTTCCATCTCTTCTTCCTGCTGTTTTTGTGATGGCTCTGCTTTAGAGGTGCCTGCCTTTTCCTCTTCTCCCTCCTTCTTAGGAGAGGCTTCTTCCCTTACTAAACGAGATGACTTCCGTTTCCATTGTTTTGACTTGACTATGGGGGCGACTTATTGGCCTGAAAACTGACAGATTGGCCTGAAAAAAAGAGTCATTGACCTATTTCTTGCTCCAAACCCCACTGTCCAGAAAAGGGAAAGTGTGTTTACAACTGCTTTTCTTCTTTGTTGGAGTGCATCAGTGTAATGATTGCTCTGAAGAAACCACGTGTCTCAATGCAGGCTTACTTTTGCAGAGAGATGCTCAGTAAAAGCAAAGAATCTGTTCTTTACATACTCAGCACTATATTGGACTGATGCAAGTATATACAAGGAAAAATATCAATCATTTTAAAGAAGCTGAAAAATTGATTTTACTTTTTAACATCTACAGGAAATGCCACAGTATGTTCCAGTCATAACAAGATTAATACTGAAATGCCTTTAGAAATGATGCAACAGAAAAGCCAAGAATAAATTTTAGCAAATACCTCTTCTTTTTTCTTCAATGTAGATTCGAATTCCTGTATTGTCTGGTTTAATTCTGTTTTATGTGTGTGGACTACATTGGCTTGACTGCTTACACATTCTAGCTCAGTTACCTGTTGAAATTAGAAGCAACACATGCAGAATTAATTGCAACAGTTTCAAGGCACTGTTAGTTTTTGCATAAATAACTGCATTTGAAATATACCCTTAGTTCTGTGTGACTTATGTTGATTAAAATGTTGAAAGTGTTCTTATGAAGTCAGTACAAAATCCCTTAACAAATTGTTTTGCATAGAATTGTTGCCATGGTGTCTAATGGTTACTGTAATATCTTGGAAACAATACATTTAAAATGTTGCAGGCTGAAAATAACATTAATTAAAATTTATACTTAATAAGCTGAATTACCATTTCAGAAACAGTAATGTCTAGATGATTAAACACAGATCTAACCTCTCCATTTGACACTTTTTAATGCTTCACCATCTTAATCAACTAAGCCACAATGCTCACCTACTTCTTTGTAGCAGTTCAATTAACATTTCACAGCTTCAGTTTCTGACTCTGCATCAACTCTACTGCCAACTTCTTACTACTAGTTTCAAATCTTACCTCTCAAAGCCAACAGCTAATAGCAAAATTTATATTTATTTGTGCAGTTCCTCTTTATTAGCAGGCAGCAAACACTGTCCACCTGCACTTCAATAAGGTAAGATAAGATAAGATACCTGGCAATGGTATGCCCTTTTCTTTTTATTATTTTTTTAATTGAAGAAATGTTAATATACTGTCATTCACAAATAAATGGTCATGTAAAAATAGCTTATACACCAAAGAATAAAACCCTTGCATCTACACAGAGTCTACGCAGAGAAGTCTTTGTTCGTGTACCTATCAAATTACATATCAAAATATTAGAGAACTCTTACACTGTATGTCTATGTGGACATCTGCACTAAAATATTTTTGATTAATAACAAACTGTTAAAATATTTAAAAATACTTAAAAAAACAACTTTTTTTTTTTCCCCCCAGAAGATATGTGCCTATCATTCTTAGTATATAGTCTTCAACAGAGGTGCATCATCTACCTAGAGAAATTAACAAATCTGGCTCCCAAACTCCTCAAATATATTTCTGTGCTACCCAAATCTTCAATGAAAACTGTTAGGTCTCCATTTCACTTCCTTAGAGAAATAGCCCCCGAGGGAATATATTCTCCAGGACAATTTTCTTTCTTAGATAAAAGAACGTCACAAGGAATCAAGGTTGGTGCCCTCTACCATCAATGTAGTCTAGCCAGTGAAGCCACTGTGATGCCAGTAATTTCAGACTCTGAACTATTTGTAAGCTCAAAAGGTAGATTACTAAGTGCAGGGAGAAGTCAAGCAAATGCCAAGATGAAATACAAGAAAACTGAAACAAAATTCCAATCAGCTTTTCCTTTCTGAGTCACAGGGCATGAACTACCCCTGTCTAACAGCCATGACTAGTCTAGCTTGTTCTACTGGAAAACTGTCATTAGACATTTTTGTATATCAGGCTTACAAATGGAAAGACTGAAATTACAGCAATTTTTGGGAGGGATAAGAGGAAATTAGGGATTAGGGAAAAGGAGAATGTCAACACCAAGAATTATTCTGTTTGATGGAATTGTCCAAAAAGGAATATCTGTGCTTGTGGCAGAAAAAAGTAATTGCAGTTTGTTCAGTTTTATATATCATTGAGCATTATGATTGCAATCTTAGACCATTTTCTCAATTTGCTAAAAATACACAGAAATATATCTATTTATATTTTTTTTGTGACTGCTACCAATTGTGACCGTTACAGTATTCACCACTATAATTACACAAACTGACTTGTGGAAAACGGACTCCACAATCAGTAAGATTGTAAAGTAAGTATGTTTATTCAGCGCTGGGCAGCACAGGGGGTAGTCCTGCCAAAGTTGTGCACACCTGACGCGGCAACTTGCCTTGGTTTTATGCAGTAAAGAGTTACATATGCATGAAGTTTCACAATGCTCCTATACATATTCATAACCTGCCCCCGCTTCATATTAAAATTAGTTCCAAGGAGTCATTTCCATAAACTTCTACCATCTGCGCTTGCACAGTGTCTTCTGGTGGTGATCGTTGGGGGTCGTGGGGATGAACATTGATGACTCTTCCTCATCACCGCTAGTTGACCTCTTGTATTTGTGCAGACTCGGTTGCTCCTTGGCTCTTGTCCATCCGCAGGTCCAGTTTCCACCAGTTTCTTAAGATAGGCTCACACTCTTATTAGGAGACTGACCTTGGTAAGGGGCCCAAGGCTTCTTGCTTTAGTTAATTTGCACAATGCACCATAGCTAGTAAAGACACTAAGTAGCATCCTAGTTTAATGCTGTCAGCGCTCTATCGCTACTTGATAAGATTCTCCTAACTCCTTCTCTCAAAACAAGCAGAGTTGCAACATAACCATTTGGATAAACCTGTCTAAATAGTGTCTGAACTAACATCTATATACAGCAGGAATCATGAAGTCAAAGAATAATTTTAGCTGGAAGGAAACTCTGGTGGTCATCTGGTCCAGGTCCCCTGCTCAAAATAGAGTCAATTTTGAAGCCACATTTGATTGCATAGGGTCTTGTCCAGTCAAGAATACTTCACCTTCCAACAAAGCTGCCACACTTGTGTGCATGTTCTTATATTCCTGCCCTGGGCACAGCACAAATTCTGCCACTGTTGAGCTCTAGTTCAATCCTAAATTTTGCTGGAACTGTCAACCTCATCCACCTTCACCCTTTCTGAAGTTTAACCTGTTAAATATTTCCAAGTTTTTCTGCTGAACTATCTTGAGTTAGAGGCAGAAGCCTCTGTGAACCCAGGGTCAAACTCTCTCCTACCTGTTGCGAAAGAGTGGAACATTATATGGTAACCTCCAAAAAGGGAAATCTTTCTTTAATATTAATAATAGAGATTAATAATGGCAATGACAGGGTTGAATGTTTATGGGTAAGAATCAAGGGGAAGGACAAAGAGGCAGATGTCCTGGTGGGCATCTGTTAAATACCGCCTAACCAGGCCAAAGAGGCAGACAAAATATTCTACAAACAGCTGGGAGAAGTCTCGCAACCACTAGCCCTTGTTCTCATGGAGGACTTCAACTTACCAAATGTCTGCTAGAAATACAATACAGTAGAGGAAACAGTCTAGGAAGTTTCTAGAGCATGTGGAAGACAACAAGAGATGAGGAAAAGGCTGAGGTACTTAATGCCTTCTTTGCCTCAGTCTTTAGCAGCAAGACCATTGTTCTCCAGGTACTCAGACCCCTGAGATGGTAGATAGGGATGGGGAGCAGAATGAAGTCATCGTAACCCACAAGGAAATGGTTAGCAACCTGCTATACCACTTAGATATCTGCAAGTCTATGGGGGTCAGATGGGATCCACCTGAGGGTACTGAGGGAGTTGGGGAAAGTGCTCAGCGAGCCCCTTTCAATCATTTATCAGCAGTCCTGGCTATCAGGGGAAGTCCCTGTAAACTGTGATACACACAAAAATCTATTTAAGTAAAATTTGATAACAATTATAGAATAAAAAATGTTGGGTTTAAAATAATTTAAAACACGTTAAAAAGCAAAGTTTACAATGAATACCGCATGAGTCAAAAGACCCATTTTATCACAGTGAATGAGAATAATGGAAAATAGAAGGGTACGATATAATGTAAAATCAAAGGATGTTTATAAATTAAACATGACAAAGTTCAAACTGTGAAAAAAACTGCCATAAGAAGTCAACTAATAAATAGTATTAGCAGAAAAAAATATTACTTTATTTATTAAAAAGCAACCTATTTATGTAAATAAGGCCGTTTATAATGCTATTTATATAAAGAGGGAACTAAAGATAGAAATAATAAGCTAAAGTTTACTAAGCAATATGTATTACTTCCCCCCACACACCACACTTGACAAAGAAATCTGACGTGGCTTGCAGATAGATGACTCCGGCACAAAAATGTGTGTATATACCTAAAGTGCATAAGGAGTGAATACTGCAATTACATTATATACAAACCACATAATATATTATTAAATTGTACTAAACTTAGCAGCTAGTGGTGGAAGTACAATTCTTCATTTTAGAGGCTGGCCTATTTTGTACAATTTTTGATCTTATAAGTGAGTATACTCTTCTAATGCATACATATTCACATTCTTCTTTTCCAGTGGGCAAGATGCTGTGACAGCCAATTTTTGCATAGAAAAAAACAGCTACACGGCAAATGAACATGCAAACTTTGTTCCTTCTTGAAATCAACTTGTCCACAAGTATTTCTAAAAATCCAATCTATTCACCTTTCTTCAACAAATTTTGTTCTGGATAGAATTTTTTTTTTCTTCTGAAATGGCAACAGATGAGAGTTGCAGCACGGCAAATTCCAATTAGGTGTTAGAATCATAGAATCATTAAGGAAAAGACCTCCAAGATCATCTGGTCCAACCATCACCCCATCGCTATATAACAGTTTTGCAAGTAACTTTTTAACCACATTTATCACAACACAACACACAATGATGATTAACACCACAAGAAGCAGAAGACTTAATCCCTCTTTGATTAATCCCAGTAACCATCTAGGCATCGTCCAAAACAAATCAGCGAGCCATTGATCGAAAGGACTAATATCATGTTGAGTCTTTCCCGTGTGCTCCTTCAGGAAAGTTAATGGATTTGTGAATTGACTCACTGTGATCAGAGAGGTTCATATAGCACAATCCCTTAAAGTCCTCACACCCATGTCACCCACAGATTTTGTTGTGGCTCGATCTTGATCACAGGCGCAAGCCCTGCTGGCAGTATTAGAATCACCATCAGCAACTTCCCCATCCCTCGAGATATCTTGGGCAGCCTCCACAACTAGGCTTGGCACCCAAACTGGTCCTGCTCAGCATACTGAGAGTCTGATACAATATTGCGTTCCGCGTCTCACAGCGTCCCATGTCTCTCTGCGTCTGTTCCGCATCTCTCCGCGTCCTGCATCTCACCGCGTCCCGCGTCTCTCCGCATCTTTTTTTTTTTTTTGTCCATTATAATTGGTATCAATTATCCTCAGCAAAACAA